GCTTGCCAGGGAAGCACTTATTTCACTGAGCCATCTCCCCAGCCCCAGGGTTCTCTTCTTGAGGTATTCCCTTATCATATTTTTATCCCAAAATGATTCGTTCATGTGAGAAGAAACCATGCCAGCAGTTCTAGTATCCTTTTACATTAGCTAATTTGTATCAGCTTAATTGTATATTTTTTCTCAAACTATGAAATGACTCATGACTGCAGTGTTGATTCTGAGTTTCTAAAAGTTTATAAATCTGTTACTACGGATAAAGCCATTATTTTCTGAGCTCTTAGATATTTATATTAGCTGATAATGACCACTGGAATTTGTCAAAAAAAGGTAACATATCACGGAGATAAAGCAGATATAAAACAAGGTTGGTTATAGATTGCTGATAGATGGTGAAGCTGAGAGGGTGGTGTGTGGGGGCACAGGGAGAATGCGGTTAATTCTGACCTAGGTGGAGATGGACTTGACAGGCAGAAGACATACTCATGAAAAATTCTGGGAAGCTGAAACTTCCATGAATTTTTAGACACAATGAGGGCAGGAAGCCAAGTCTGGCCCTAGGTTATTAGAATAATCTAATTCTGGATTATTTGGTGAATTGTGATGCTACTGATCAATGTAAAAAACACAAGAAGGAAAAGAGGGTTAGAGAGATGATAAACTCACTTCAGGTTCAGTTGATCAACTCTTTTCAGAATATCCTGGATGGGCACTATTCCTCAACATCGATGTCCTGCGACTAGATCAACCAGTGTGCTATGGTTTGGATGTGTGCATTGGGATCCGTGTGCTGAAAACATCTCCAGTGTTGTATATTAATGCCATGTGAAGGGGGGCTTTGAGGAGTAATCAGGATTAGAGGAGGATGAAGCAGGCCCTCTTTGAGCATCAGTGGATTTATAAAAAGAAAAGTAACTTGAGCTAGCATGCTCGTGCTGCCCACTGTGGTACAGTCGACAGGACTGAGATGTGGTGGGAAGCCTCACCAGACGCTGCTGTGGACAGAAGCCCAGTGCTCTTCAGCTTCAGCCTCCAGAACTGGGATGTACATAAGCTTTACAAGTTATGTTCTCATGTCTAGAGAACTGATCAAACACAGCATTATGGCCAGTTTTGAATAACATGAACTACTCCCACTTTATTGAAGTTGTATTTTATTCCAGTAACTTGCCCTCTCAGGTGGTTCTAATCAGGCTCAGCAACTCCAAAACAAGGTGAAGAGTCCACCCGACTTAAACAGCGTGAATCTCCTCTATGCTCCTTTCATACTTCCAACTTCTCCCAGTACTTCCCTGTCTGTTGTCCTATCAAATTATGCACCCAGTAGACTGCAAATTTATAGCCATACATTATTCATTTATTGGAGAGAAAGAGGACAAATTCTGTAAATTGATTTTCTTAGCGCTTCCGACTAAACCATTACCTTTCACTGCATTTGAAGATGTTTACTGTTATTTTGTTAACTCTGTGAGCATCTATGCTGCCCAGCATTGGGAAACTTTCCACTTTTCCAGGAGTTTGTTGCTTACATATTTGGTACAGAGTCTCACTACGTAGCTCGGACTCCTCGTGGTGTTCCTCCTCTCTCAGCCTCTTCAGCACTGCCACCACGCCTGGTTTTAGTGGCCAGCAAGGTGCACCCAGGGTTCCAGGGCCAGCATGGCATGCAGTACCGGAAATGGAACCTGGGTCCTTGCACTGGCCAAATAGGTGCTCAGACCAACGAGCTATCTCCCCAGCCCCAGTGCTTATACACATAGGTGAGAAATCCTCTACATATACACCAAGGAAATATCTAAAGACTGGTATGTATCTGCTGAGATATACACATTAAAGACAGGTATTACTTAATAGAAAAAAGAAAATATCCATGTATGTCAACAGGCTTAATGCAAAAGATATCCACAAGCCCAGCTTTAACATTCAGATTGTTCTACTCCACCAGAAACTATCAGAGTACAGTATATCTAAATATGCTAGACTTTACTAACATTTGTCCCTGCTTATGCTGATACTGCAGCCTGAAAAATATTAGTATCTCATGCTTCATCACTTCGTGGAAAGATAAAACAGGCACCAGAGCACCTTTATAAGTCACCATAATGGGTTCTAATTTTCTTCTTTAATACTTCTTAATATAACTCAGGGACCAGAACTCACATAATGATCAAACTATTTGTTCTATTTTCCCTGGTTTCTTCTTATTAGTTTTTGTCCTCCAAAGACATTCTTTTCAGTTTCTAAAATTTCAGAAACTCATATATTTGAAATGTTTCATATATACATGAGTACTTGATTATCTACCACCCAGACTAAGATGATAAAGCCCCTCAAGTAACCCTGCCAAACTGCAGTGAAAATGTAGTAAATTCATCATTACCTGCCTTACTTAGGGTTATTATTATTATTATTATTATTATTATTATTTTAGGTAAGGGTCTATAGGGTGTTCAGGATCTCATTACTAGATTGGACTTGCAGTGATCCGCCTGTTTACAGCCTCGCAAGAGCTGGGATTACAGACATGCACCACCACACCCAGTCTCAACTGCCCTCTCAGCCCACATTGGGGGCAGGGCTGGCATGGCAGGCCCAGGGATTGAACCCCCGACCCCTGCGCCTGCTTGCAGGCACTTTAACCCGCTGAGGTATTTGGTCGGCCCTCTAGATTTGCCACCAAAGGTTACACTGTTTACTTTCTGCCAAGCTTTGAACATAAGGGAAGACATAAATATATACTATATATCTCCAGTATTTATCTTTAAGTGAGATTTGTTTTCAACATTCACTCAATGATATATGCAAGTATGCTACCGATTTTAACAGCCCTATATTATACTGTTACATTAATTTATTCTTATTGTTGGATATATGAACAGTTTTTCTTTTTGTAATGACTTTGAACAATGTGTCATTCATTTCTATGTACATGAAAAGGTTTTACTGAAGTATTATTTCTAAATAAAAGAATACAACAGCTGAGAAATAAGACTGGAAAATGTTATTATGACAAAATGTTTTCCAAAGCACTTGGGGCCATTTCTACTCAAATCACAAGTGCATGAATTCACTTACTGTACCATATCCTGGGTCAGACCCGTAACCAACAGGCTTCTGACTTTGCCAATCTTGCTGAAGTAAAGTGTTTTTTCATTCTGGATTTTATTTGCATTATTCAAGTCAGCAAATAAACTGAGAAACTATCTCATTGACACATGTGTGCATGGGACAATCAAGTTTCCCATTTTCTTAACATGATTTTACTTTATATGAGACACACATATCTTGTTAGTTATACAACTTACACTGATCAAATTTCCTCTTTTATACTATTTTTATGAGCACAATTTTTTAATTTGATTGAAATCACTAGTCTTTTCCTATATGGTTTGTTGTTTTGTCTTGAAAATTCCTTCCCTTATGTAAGTTAGGGTATTCTTCTTTATTTTCTCTAAATCCTGATATGATATCCTTTTCTACCTAGGTTCTTTTTATTTACTTTAATTTTTTTTAATAAAGAGCGAGCATCTTTGCCACAGTATCCCCTTTGCCTTCTAGACGTCTGGCTGGGTGTGCTGGGATGTCTCAACTCTAACCCCAGATGCTCCCCTTTCTGCCAACACATTTCAGGCTCTGTCTGCCCGGGCTGGACTTGGAGGGCTTTCTCCCCTCCGATCTACCTTCTCTTGTAATTCACTACCTCTTTAACTGACCTTCTGATTAGCATTTTTATTTCTGTTGTTTTCATTTCTAACAACTAAATTTAGACCTTTTCAAATGTGATCATTTCATGTTATATTTTTGACAGTTTCTTTAAGACTTAAAATATAGCTATATAATATACTGTCTCATAATTCTAGTATTAAAAGTTTGCACACAGCTGATTCTATACGTGCTTTTTCTGCAAGGTATCATAAATGGTACTATGCAGCCTGTGTATTAGAGATTCGGGGTCAGAAATTGCCTGAAACCAACAATGTATACCTAGTCTTCCGAACAGAATTATTTATATTTGGTTCTGCAATACATGTGTGTGCGCTACCAGTCTAAGAAAACTTGTAAACAAAATGCTTGACTCGAGAGTTGTTCAGCTTCCCAGATAAGATAATGCAGGCCATACTAGGAGACCAGCTTATCATAATGAGAGCTCAAGGCTCATTTCATTTACCCCAGATACCTGACTCCTTCAGTGCATGTTCAGAACGGCCAACCCCTTTGTAGCTCTGTGGTCACGATTCTGGGTATTGTCTGAGGTATATAACCTTTAGGTCCTGCTCCATAGAGTACTCTCCATGTAGTGGGGTCCTGAGTTTTGTTTCAAAGTTGGCTGATTCAACAATAGTGCTGATTTATATGTGCCAGTCAACTCAAGAGTTTGGGGCTTGAATAGCCTTATTTTCTGACACTTCATTAATCAATTTAGAAAGATGTTTTTCTCTGTCAATTACATATTTTGTTGGTGTCAGGAAGAGAATCTGTCAAGACCTTTGCTTTTGTGCTACATGCAGAAATTGTTAGCTTCACTTCTTAAACCTCTCCCTCTTATCAAGTCATTCCTTCATTCTCTTCTTTATTATCTCTTTCCAGAAAGTATCAGGAAAACTGATTGGGAAAGTGGATAACCATTCCACCTGTCTCTACTTTCATTTTCAGGCCCCAAAATAATATGATTCTATTCTTCTTTTTTTTTTTTTCTTTTTGGTGGAACCGGGAATTGAACTCAGGCCCTTGTACTTGCCAGCGAAGCGCTTATTCCAGATTCTATTCTTAAGTACAGAGATACATAAAGTCCAAGTGAATAAATAAAATACACATCTTATAGGATTCATACCTTCCATTGATGAAATGAATTCAGTAGTACCATCTGTATTTGTAGTTAGTACATTAAAAAACTTCTTTAACTTTTTATTCATTGTAAAATTCTAGAGTACAAAAAGAGAGTAAAATGATTAATTCTGTGGTTATTCTAAATAACTTCATTTAATTGTTAAGCTAACAAGATACCTTTACAGACAGGCTCCATGTGTGGAAATTTGCAGTCAGGGGTTCAGATGCTAATGACCGCAACAAGTCAGGAGGAAAATTCTGGAACATTCTACTCTTTGATGCACCTGAAATAATTATGTGCACACACAAAAATAATTTAACCACAAAAAAATAAAATCATGTTACAATATATGAAGCTGAAAACATGTCATTATTAAGACATAATCAAAATGACTAAATGATAAGCAAAACACTTCATTTCTGGGGAAGTATTCCAGTGAAGTATAAAACATGTTTAACAAATTCAAATACTCTCCTAACTTAAAACTTTTTCTTCCAGAATTTTAATATGAATAAACAAAATTGTTCTCATGTAAGAATTTGTAGGCTAGCAACAGAATAAGCACAGAATCTTAACTCAATTCCCAACATCTCTGAAAAACAGATAAAATTATCCAAATGTGTACATACTTGTTTTCCCAAGAAAAGATCCAAAATTTCTAACACATTTGCAAAGTATCTCAGATATAAAAGGTTAAAAAAAAATACCAACAATGTAGGAAAAAACTAACCAAGCCAAAGAATTTCTGTGCAGTAAATAGATCAAAGAGGCAATATATCTTAATGGCCAACAATAAAGGCTCTCTAGTCACACACACACAGACTCAGAGGACTTAAAAAAACATACTACAAAGTGCTCAAGGCTCTGACACCAGATATTCCAAATCAGGCCCTTCATTTTTGCTACTGGCTTCCATAAGAACTCCACTACCTTGAAATTCTGCTTTTTATAGTATAAAGTGAGTGATGCCACAGGCCACCAACATAATGTGACCTAAATATACACTTCTCATAAGGTTGTGGTAATGATTAGGTGAGATAATGGAAGAAACAACTTCCATAAATATAAAACAATATATAGATTCTATGCATGATTAGTATTACTCTTCTCCTAAATCTCTGAGAACAGGGACAGTCATTGCACTCAGTTCTAAGGAATGAGAGGTAAGTACCTAGTACCTCTAAGAATCAATGCCTACTTGCAGTGTGCAGTATAACAGAGAACGGATCTGATTTTTATTCTTCAAGTATTCCGAGTTATAACAATGTCTTTGTTCTACTGATGAGGTGATGCAAGTGGGCTCTAGGTTACTTCAGGATGACACTGATGACCAGAAAGACTAACCACATGATAAGAGCATTGACATTTTGAGCCAGGTCCACTTCCAAGGATGGAAAGAAGGGCCAGAGACTGAGTTCAGTCCTGTGGTTAATGCCTCAATCAATCATGCTTTTACAATGATATACCAATGAAAACTCTGGACCCTAAAGTTCACTAGCATTTCTGGGTTTTGAGCAAATGCAGCAATTTCTTGATTTCTATGTGTCATTCTAGGGAATCATGAAACATGATAGGTCCCTGGAATTAAAAATTTGGGGCAGTTGGTAGAAAGAGTGGATGTCTGAGGAATGTGGCTTGTGGCTAGCACCTGAAATAAGACAGTCTTGTTGGGGACTATGATTTAAACCTGTGGGGCTGTGCAAACTCGAAACATTAAGTGCCACAAGTATGTTATAGTATGCTCTGTTTTGGATGAAACAAAGTATACAGCGAAGGGGGAGATATTAATAAATATCTACCATAATAATACACAGTAACATTTATAAAGAGCTGGATTTAACATACTTAGCCTACTTGCTGGTAAACATCATATTTGACATACACCAACATCTTAAAGACAGGTAGATTTTTCCAATAAGGAAATTGAAGCTAAGGGAGAATAAATAATTCCCCAAGGGCAAAGTGAGAAGATTGGAACTTCAAACCAGGACCAATGTTAATGCTCTTAATCATACAAGATCCTAATATCACTAGAAGCAGTGATTTGACAAAATTCCAAATACCAAGCCAGACAAGGTGATGCACATCTGTAATCCCAGCACTTGTGAGGCTAAGAGGATCATGAGTTGAGGCTGACCTGTGCCACAGAGAACTTTTCACAACAGAAAGAGAGAGAGAGAGAGAGAGAGAGAGAGAGAGAGAGAGAGAGAGAGAGAGAGAGAGAGAGAGAGAGAGAGAGAGAGAAGAAAAAGAGAGAAAGAGAGAAAAGATTCAAAATTCTTTAGGTCATCCTAACAAATGAATACAAGGATGATCATCATATCTATGGGCTGCATAAGTAAGTCTAAAACATTGTGAGTACTTTGATACTTGATGCTTAGTGTTCTTGTGCAGTAGGCTTACTTAAAGTATTTGAGTGGCATATTCTCACCTTTAGTGAAGCTCAACGGCAATGTGATATTCTCAGTCTTTGTCACAGTTAATAACATTTCCTCACTGATCAGATAGGACAGTTCCTCAAATCCAAGACAGGTGCCCCACACAGGAAAATGGTCTCCATCATCAAAACTCTGCAAAGTAAGAGAAAAAGAACACTGTTCATTCAAATTTTTCATGAAAATTACACATATGGTAAGCCATTACAACTAGCCCCTACGTTAAAAATAAACTTTTACATAATTTTCCTCAATCCTTATATAGACTTCAAATTAATTAATCTGTCTTTACACCAAGCTCACACACAAGCTAGAAAAAGTGAGCTGTCGTGACACTATATTCTTGACCCAAGGACCACAAGAGGCCCTGGGTTGTCTGACATAGACATTAAAAGGTTTAGGCAAGCATCTCAAATGGTAAAAGCAGTTATTAAAGGAAATACTGAAGGGAGGGTTGGTGAGATACTAGAACCAGAAAGATTAATTAAGATGGCTGTTAATAGTTCAGGAGAGAGAAAAACATAATGAATGGTCTACACTCTGATACAAAGACATGTGAGATACAAAGGAAAAATCAGAAGTGCTGCTTGACAAATAGAAGTGACCTTAGGTAACTGTGAAGAAAGATCAAATGGAACCAAATGAATGTGAAAGACCAAATTTCTTTTCTTTTCTTTTCTTTCCTTTTTTTTTGGCAGAACCCGGGATTGAACTCAGACCCTTGCACTTGCCAGGGAAGCGTTGATTCTACTGAGCCATCTCCCCAGCCCCAGAAAGAGCAAATTTCAAGAGATAAAAATCAGCAACATCAAGCTCAGCATGGTGGCGCACACCAGCATTCCCAACAGTTGGGAGGCTGAGCCAGGAGGACTGCCATAAGTTTGAGGCCAGCCTGGGCTATGTAGTGTTCAGGGCCAGCCTAAGGTACAAAGTAAGACCCCATCTCAATAAAAGAAACTTTAAAATAAAATAAAAACTGAGTAACATAGGAAAACTGGTGAGCATATCAAAAGAACATAAGAGGTTATAGGGAGATACTGGGGTTATTAACAACTTAACAGTTTACCTCGAGCATCACCTGGGCAGCACCATTTGCTTACATACTGACTCTCCTGAGCATCATCACTTGGGCAGGTGTCATTTCAACCAGTCAATTCTTTGCATGAGATCTAGTAGGCTGTTTGTTTAGTAGACTTTCTTTGCATATGTTTTTATTTGGAACACTGTATTTGCCTTTGACATTTATTTCTAGTGAAAGCTAATAATAAGTTCTGGCTATTTCCTTTTAATCACATATTTATTTGTAATAAGTAACCTATCCCTGAGTTCAATCTTCGGTACAAAAAATATATAAATAAATAAGTAACCTGTAATTTTATGCTATAATTTATAGAAATCCTTACCATAAATACATTAAATAAAACTCTTATACTTCTCCAGAATTCAGTCATACTCCTTTGCAATACAAAATGGACAAGTTTAGGACACTGAGATTGAATAGGAAGAAAGTGCCAAGGGATTTGCAAAAGAAAAACTGAAAAAAGGGAGAAATGTTAGTATATCAGAGAGGAAAAATTTGCATTCTGAAATGGAAAGGCAAAAAAGGTATCTTACTGTCAACTACTCATAATATAGAAATGATAGAACTTGAAAAAAGAAATGAAACTAAAAATTTCTAGTAGTGGTCAAAGACTATAATAATTCTCTGACTGGTGGTGACAGAGTTGACCAACATCTAACAAGTTAGCCTATAGTAAAAAATGGAAGAAAAATAGTAATTATAAACTTTAATGCACCTTCAGGACCAAACAATATGGAACTCATTCATTATTTATTCAAAATGAGGAGATTCAAAAAGCAGCTACAATTTAGATTATGTCTAATAGACCAACATTTTGGATTGTGAAACACCAACCAGGATGTCCATTATCTATACCTTCACCATTGTGTTTAATGAGCAGACATTTTATTGAAATTATAAACTCACAGAGAAAAAAGGGCCAACATGACAGAATAAAGTAATTGTTTAAAGAAAGACAATAATGCAAAAAGAATTTGGAAAAAAAAGAATTTGTAATTCTACTAGATACTACTGTCCAGACTGCAACAGTGCACCTTGTACTGAACACCTTATGATATACCATACACAGAAAAATCATGGAATTTGATAAAATTGTTGTTATATTCCCTGTTATATTATCTTATAAAAATATGCTAGTTTTAGTCATTCTGTAATTAAATAACTGGGCTGTTAAGTAGCTAAACCACATACTGATGTGCTTATACCAAGATGCCTAGAATTAATGAGACACAAAAATTGGCAAGAGCAGCCACTGCTGGGAACAGATGCTTTAAAGGTTAAGGGAATGCAGTGAAAATATTGTGATGGCAACATTACCTATAGGCTTTTTAAAAAAGAATGAGTCTCACAGAGGCTAACAAAAGCCACCTGGAATGATATTCAATTACTGATACACATACCTTTTTGGACAACTCATAAAATATCTTGGAGACTTTGGCATAATTTGACGTCTCAAGATCAGAGCCTCCTCCGGGTAAAAGGATTCTAAAATATCAAATAAGATGAATTTTACCCACATATACAAACAAAAAATAAAACCACCTTTTCACTTTCAAGCATTTTTCCTTAATACATTAAGAATCATTGAAGAAGGGCCAGCAAGATAGCTCTGCAGACTAAAGTGCCTGCTCAGGCGGACACAGGGGCCAGGGGTTTGATCCTTGGCCCGCCATGCCAGTCCCCCACATGGGGCGCGCTGAGATGGCGATTGAGACTGGGTGTGGTGGCGCACACCTGTAATCCCAGCATTTGGGAGGCTGAAAACAGGAAGATTGTTACAAGTCTAATAATAAAGTATATATTCTTCACACTGTTTCTGGGCCTCGCCATAGTGGACATTTGGAGAGCACCCCATCCATAGCCAGAGAGCCCCCTGGTACCGCCTGCTCTCAATTCACAGCTTTCTCTTTGCCTTGTGACCATGTCCACCAATGAGAATGCTAATTCACTAGCTGCCTGGCTGAACAGATTTAAGAACAAGAGAAAAGACAGTACAGAAACGAAGTGAGCACAGAGAAGTCAACTTGGAGCTAAGAAAAGCTAAGGATGACCAGATGCTGCAAAGGAGAGATTCAGACTCCTTTCTGGTGACGCTACTTCACCACTGCAAGAAAACCACAACAACCAGGGCACTGTGACCTGGACTATGGAGGATGCTGTCAAAAGCACAACCAGCAATAATCTGGAAAGCCAGATGCAAGCTACTCGAGCTGCTAGGAAACTGCTTTCTTGGGAAAAACAGCCTCCCATAGACCACATTATGCAGGCTGGTTTGATTCCAAAGTTTGTGCCTTTCCTGGCCAGAAGTGACTGTAGTCCCATCCAGTTTGAGTCACTGATACTGCTTCCACGTCGCCAGAACAGACCAAGGCCATGGTGGATGGAGGGGCCATGCCAGCTCTCATTTCCCACCTGGCGTCTCCCCACACTCACGTCACTGAGCAACCTGTCTGGGTGCTGGGAAACACTGCAGGTGATGGTTTCTGAGACTCAGTTATCAAATATGGTGCAAATGACGCACTCCTGGCTCTTCCTGCAGTCCCTGATATGCCACTTTTAGCAGGTGGTTACTTACACAACTTTCCCTGGACCCTTTCTAACCTTTGCTGCAACACGAATCCTGCGCCCCTGCTGGATGCTGTTAAGAAAATTCTCCCTACTTTGGTTCATCTCCTGCATCACAATGATCTCAAAGTATTAGCAGATAACTGCTGGGCCATTTCCTACCTTACTGATGATTCAAATAAACACATCAAAAAGGTCGTAAAAAAAGGGAGTTGGACCCCATCTGGTGAAGCTTCTGGGATTATACAAATTGCCCATTATGACTTCCTCGCTGAGAACCACACGAAATATTGTCACTGGAATGGACAACAGCCCCAGATTGTGACAGAGACAGGAGCACCTGTTGTCTTTTCCAGCCTGCTCACTCACCCCAAAACAAACATCCAGAAGGAAGCTACAGGGACTATATTACAGACAGACAGCAGAACCAAATACAGCAGGCTGTGAAACATGGATCAGTCCTATTCCTGGTCAGTGTTCTCTCTAAGGCCAACTTTAAGACACAAAAGGAAGCTATGTGGGCTGTGACCAGCTATACAAGGGGTGGGACAGTGGAACAGATCATGTACCTTGTTCACTGTGGTATAACAGAACCACTGATGAACCTGTTAACTGTGAAAGATACAAAAATTATCCTTGTTATTCTGGATGTTATTTTCAAATACCTTTTAGGCTGCTGAGAAACTAAGTGAAACTGAGAAGATAAGTATAATGACTGAAGAACGTGGAGGCTTGGACAAGATTGAAGCTGTACAGGACCACGGAAATGAGTCTGTGTATGAGGCTTCATTAAGTTTGATGGAGACGTAATTCTCAGTAAGGATCAAAATGCTGTACCAGACACTACTTCTGATGATTCACCTTCTAAGTTCAGGACAGGGCTCCAGGTACCTTTAACTTCTCGGTGTACAGGTGAGGGAGATACCTGTTTTGGTTATGTACTACATTCGGTGTAAATCTGTCTGTTCTCTACTAAGAACACTTTTCTTCTATGTGTTTTGTCATTGTAGCACTTTTTTACAATGAAGCTATACTTGAACAGTTCCAAATTACATACACTGTATGAAGCTTATCTGCTTAAATTTCAAAACCTAAAATAAAATTTACGATCTCAACCATTCAGAAATTACTACAGTTAATAACACTTTGGTATATGTTCTTTTAAAACTTCTTTGATAACAAGATTATTAGTGTGAACAAATTAGAGGTAAATAAATTGTGAAGAGGCAGGAGAGTGTCCAAAGCTAGAAACTTAGACATCAAATGGTCTAATTTTTCAGGTGTTGCGAGTTTTATTTTACTGTGCTTTGTCTTCTTTAGTGCTAAGGACTGAACCCACTGCCTTGCACATGCTAGGCAAGCACTCAACCACTAAGCAGTATCCCAGTCCTGTCTTCAACTGTATTTATTTTGAGATACAGTCACACTCAACTGTCAAGACTAGCCTTAGATATGTGGCCCTCTGCCTTAGCTCCCAAGTGGCTAGGATTACAGGCATGTGCCACCACTGCCCAGCCACTTGTAGCTAGATTTAAGTTAAGATGATCAGGTAACTTAAATCACCTGTAGGTGTGTAACTGTGACTTTTAACTCAGAAATAATTCTTACTTATAAAGAATAAACTAAATATTAAAATGTATTCAGATTAGACTTAAATAAGTATTGACTTAATTACCATCCTGAGATCTCTTGAGAAATAAGCACATTATTACAAAATCTTGAAAAGAACACAATTACTCTTACAGAAAAAGTGTAAAAAGTGAGTTACAAACATTGAATTTTATCTTACTCTATCCATAAAGATGAAATACAGAAAAATATTTACCATATTTTGTATCAGCTTTTTAAATTAAATTATTTCTAATAGGTAGTGACATAACTATGGATACTCAAAAAAGGTTTGACCTCCTTGGCCAACAAAAGTTAAATTAAACATATTATTTGAAAAGATGTAAATAGGTACTTGAGATATGTACACTAATTTTTGAAATTGTTGTTTCTTCAAGGAATATATTCTGCTGCTTCTATGAGTAAACTATGGTTCTAGCCTGAGACAAAGAAGAGCACATTTTGCTATTAAGATCAGTCTAGTATAAAACATTTAACACCTGAGAAAAGACACGTGCCATAAGCCCTATGTAGAACAGCCTACAATGAAAAGTGACTTAACTAAGACATGAGCAGCTCTCTCTTTAAATTAAGCTGGTATTTAAAATGTTGCTTTGGGGGCCAGGGAGATAGCTCAGTGGAATAAGTGCTTCCCTGGCAAGCACAAGGGCCTGAGTTCAATCCTTGGTTCTGCCAAAAAATAAATAAATAATAAAAAATAAAGCATTGCTTCTGTCCCCAAAGAGTGAAAGACATACTAAATGACACATACATATTCACGTTTATAGCATCCCAACTCATTAAAGCTACATCTTAGAAGTGGCCTATCAACAGACGACAGGATGAAGAAAATGTGGAATTTTTGCACAGTGGAGTACTATTTTTTCAAAGATAAATTTGAGTTGTTTATGGAAAAAAATGGAGGCACCCTGAGACCATAATGGTTAATGAAGTAAGTCAGACACAAAGCTTAAATCTCTAATAGCTTTGGCTGTATATGGAGCCCAAAATATAAATAAAAAGCAAAATAAAGATAATAGGAAACAGGGAGATAGAACTTTTTGTAATTGTGAGGGGGATCAGGAGATGGAGTGGGGAGGAGAGGGAAAAGGACAGAAAACAGAATTAAGGTGTGTTTTGTGCATGTTCCAACTCCCCATGGTGAGGGTAGTCATTATATACTGCAAACATGTACTAATAAAAATAAGTTCTTTAAAAATCAGCAAAATGTTGCCTCTGATGAAATTTGGTTTATGTAACCTTAAAGTTCTTTCATGGGCGAAAACCTGAATGTCTCTTGTAGACGACCAAGTTCTTTAAATCAGAACTCTGCCTTTTCCTCTCTGTATTCCTCACAGAATAGCATGAGGTAGTAACAGGAATTCACTGAAGGTGTTTGTGAAGTCGCATTAGACCACCATCCTTTTTTCTACTGACATTCAAAAGTGGTCCATCATGGCTCCTGGTCTCCCCGCTTGAGAGCCCCGCTCTGGATGCCTGTGCTGTGGAGCAAGTGCAGGCCTCTGGGAGCAAGAGCTGTGTCAGCAAAACAGACGGTGGCCGTCGAAAAGGGACTCCCTGCCAAGCAAGAAGCACAGAAGCACCGTGACTGGACTACAGAAGGCTCGGGTGCTTCTGGCTGCCAAAGACATGCATTCCTATCTATAAAATTACCACTGCAGATGCTTTTCCAAATAGAGACATATCTGGGGGGAGGGAAAGAAGAGAGAAATTATTCTAAAAGCGCATTGGGAAGATTATTCCATTATATTCTGGCCTGCATTTACTTCTGTCCTTGTTAAAGTACTTTGCTCAGCCGGGAATGTAGCTTAGTAGCACAGCACCTTCCTGGCAAGCATGATGTCACTTCCCAGTACAAAAAAAAGAAACAAGAAAAAACTTTTGCACATACCAGGCATTGTAAATGTTTTACTAAATTGAACTGGCTTTAAAGTAAACATTTACTGAACTAAACTAATCTGAAAACAAGTAACTTTTTTTTTTTTTTTTTTTTTTTTTTTTTTTGCGAAACCGGGGATTGAACTCAGGCCCTTGCACTTGCCAGGGAAGTGCTTATTCCACCAAGCCATCTCCCCGGCCAACAAGTAACTTTTGAACATGCTTTAAAAAGGAAAGTAACATGAACTTTTTTGAAGTAATTACAACAAAAGTCTTTTAAGAAAACTATACAATGAAAAAGGACTCCTCACTGCATCTCCAATGAGAAGTAACTATTGCTAAAATTTCTCATGTTAATTTGGTAGAAATAGGCTATGTCTATCTCTTCATCCCTACTTTAAAGGAAAAAGCAAATATAAGTATACTCTCTGCACCACAGCACACCTTGCTTTCTTTCACAAAACAATATTGGTCACATGTCAATTATTATGCAAAGCAATATCCACAAATAACTTTATTTTTAACTTCTATACAATATTCTATGAAACATATACAGCTTGTTTTCTTTTTTTCTTTTTCTTTTCTTTTTTTTTGAGACAGGGTCTCTCTGTGTATTCTAGGCTTGCTCTGAACTCACTACAGCCTCAAACTCATGGCAAGCATCCTGCCTCAGCCTCCTGAGTGCTGGGATTACAGGCTTGTAATCCTACTACCATGCCCAGCTCTAGTCTACTTCACATAACCAAGTCCCACCTGATAGACAACTAAGTACCTTTCTCAATTGTCTTTTCAAACAATAATATAATGCTTATGACTGAGCCTAACTCTATATACAGGGATGACGAAGACCACAATGACGACAATGATGATTGATGATGTATTTCACTAGAGATTAAACCCAGGGCCTTCCGACTGAGTTACATCCCAGCTATTTTTTTATTTTGAGACAGAGGCTCTCTCACCAAGTTGCATAGGCTGGGCTCGAACCTGCAATCCTCCTGCCTTAGCCCCCCAGAATACTGAGATTACAGGTACACACCACTGCATCTGGCTTACAGAGTAATCCATTTGTAAAAATAAAATTCCATTTTAAGATCATGGGTCAAAAATACATATGTCTCTAGTTTTAATAGATACTGCAAAACTGCCCCTAAAAACACTGTAATTTATACCCCTACTAATAAAGTATATTTGTTTTCCCATATCCTCAATATAGAATATTTGCAAATATTCTGATCTCTGCCTTTTTATTGCAATAACAGAATTTTCTTCCTTAAGACAGGTGCAATGTACCATATTTTTCACATTTGAAAGTCCTTTTCTGTGAGCTAATCAATCATACCTTTTCTGGTAAGCGAAAGAATTAAAAAATATTGTTTTCTGAGTTTTATTCAAATTACTTCTGAAAGATAATCCATATCCACATATACCCTTGTGCAAGCAATATACCCCAAAGTTGTTTCAAAATACTTAAAGCAAGCATTAAAGAAACAATGATCATGTTATACAGGCAAAAAAAATTGTATGTATCTACTATATAATAATTATATATATTTCCCAACTTGTCTCCTACTCTTAATAAAACTTTTGCTTCTGGTAGCAAAATATTTCCTATAAAAAAACTCAGAAAAACTGACATATCCTATTCGTGCAGAAACACACAGAATTTTATATTGCTTTACAAAAGCAAGTAAATACACAGACATTCATACACTGCATCAAAACAATTCACACATAATTGTATTAAGCCAACATACCCATTGATAGACTTGAAAAGTTCTTCATATTCCGCATATGTAAGATTAAGCCTGAAAACAATAAAAACAGTTTGTAAATATTCATTTCTGAAACTAAGATAAAAAACTCCAAATGAAGTAACCACATGAATGCTTTAAAGTCAGATAAAAAAATTCTTAAATATCAGACACTATTACCTCGTAACCTTTCTAGATGTATTTTTTCAAGTTCCATGAAAGCCATAGAATTGTACCCTTGTTATGCTAGTCAAATAGGTAAGTGTGTTCTTCTGTGGTCAGTGAAATTTAACATAATGTATTAATATGTAAAACAGAATTAAGCATCAGTTAATTTCAGTTAGCTAAGGATAATTTTTCAAATCTAAGAATTCAGTAGTTTTATGTACAGACTATAAAAGAAGTTTATTACCACATTGAACAGCAGGCAGCTAAGGAAGATAAAAACAATACAAATATATGCCAAATTCCTACTTCATCAGATCCCCACCAGCCAGCTATCATGGTCTGGGACTACTGCGTACTCAAAAGTCAGAACAGTAACTGATCTACGGACAGACTACAGACAGATCACGATAGCCTAATTACACAGCCTGTCATCCAACACTCCTTGAAAACTGCCTACCAATATTCAGGATATTGATAATTTTATCCTCCTTTTGCATTGAAAAACTGATGGAATTAATCAATGACAATTGATAACTTTTAATTAAGTCAGAGGAAGATATCTGCTTTTCAAAAGTTTAGTTTAAAGCAAGAAAAGGGCCAGTCAAATAGTTCAGCAGATTAAAGTGCCTGCTTAGGCAGACACAGAGACTGGGGTTTGATCCCCAGTGTACCATGCAGGTCCCACCCCTGAGAGGTGCTGAGACATGACAAACTGGGCGTGGTTGCACACGCCTGTAATCCCAGCACTTGGGAGGCTGAAAACAGGAGGATCACTAAGAGTCCAATATACATAGTGAGACCCTATAGACTCTGTAATAAATACATTAAAAAAAAAAAAGGCAAGAACAAAACAAGAGAAATCATGGTTGTGAAATCCTTGGAAGAACTCTCACATTTCTGTAAGAGAATAACATGGCACAGCCCCTCTCAATGCCCTAAAAAATTAGGTTTACAATCACATGTCAAGTATAGTCCAGCTATGTTCCAGAGAAAAACTAAGGTGATATCAGAACACCTCTCCCATGACCAAGTAGACACTTACGATACCTAGAATTTGGCTGTGCTCTGCCAGCAAATCTCCTTTAAATCCAAATAACCTTGAAAGTCTAGGTCTCGAAATATTAGAGAAAAAGAAGGGCTACAAGGACAGCCCACATTTTGGCCCTAGCCTTTCAAAGGTTAGTGAGGACTCAGGACATAGGAGAACTTGTACTGTAACATCATGTAACTCAGTTGTGTCCCAAATTTTCTGATCAAGGAGATTATGAGGCCACAGAGGAAAGTGATGGATGATGTACAGTGTGCCTAAGGAGAGTCACACGGACAGAAAACATTCTCTCAGGCTTTCACAGAGAGCAAACTGGTAAAGCAATGGCCATAACTCATCCACATGGCTGACACTCACAAAGGATCTATGAACTGCGGTACAGGATTTCAGGATAAATCCTGAGAGGATTTGACTGACCTTATCAGATACAAAGGTTACATTTCTTATTATATAGGTCTTGCTTTACCTTGGTCTTAACCATCCAGCAGAAAAGTATAAAAATGACGTATAAAAAATAAAGCCATATTAATATGCTGAACTGTAAAAGGCTCAAGTGAACAACTTCTGTCACTGCCAGTCTGACAGATAACCCACTACTATTATGGACTACTGGACTATATTGGAATATTTGGCTGAATTCACACACCTACAATATTTAAATGGCAATGGAATACCCATCTCTGACAAAACTAAACAAAAAAAGGGGATACAAATGAAGGACCATTTTGTATTTGTATATACAAAATAGGATAGATATACAGCTATTTTCTCTTAACTCAATGAATAGAAAGATATATTCTAATAGTGTGTGGACAGGATATCATGTCTGCATCTTGTACTATGAATAACCACAAAAAAGACAACAATATGCAATGTATTAATTATTGAAACTGTCCTACTCATCGGTTTTGAAACTGTCTCATTGCTATTTGTTTCTCAATAAAATTATTTAAAAAAGAAAAAAGAAAGCAAGTCCAGGTCTCTTGTTGGTTAAGTTTCCAGTTAATCACTCAACAGTCATCCACAGAGCACCAGGTGGCAGTGCAACGGTGGTGATGATGACCTTAAATGTAGGATAGGTCGGCAGGTAGCTTTCTTCCCATGGGAAGATATAGGGAGGAGAAATTCAAGTCCACATGTAATGGATTAGATGAGGATTCTGAGACATTCTAAAATACATTAATTTGATCTGATAATACTCTGTAAGTACTTAAAAGATTCTGTTAGCTCTTTCCAAATGAAAATGAGACATATTCTACTTCTTGCAAGTGAAAATACAGAATCATCACATTCCTTTTTTGTATTTAAATAAATTATATTATTATTTTTCATTGTGGAAAATGATACAGGTAGTAGAAAATCCCAGGGCTCACCCCAGGTTGCTAGATTCCCTCACAGCTTTGGTTGTATTTAGAGAGATTTCAATATTCAGAGAGATTTCTCTATCCTGGAAAACAGCCACACCTCTGTGGCCATGCCACAATGTCAGTTGCTCACAAGCTGAACCTCTCAGTGCTGAATCTTTGCCAACTCTGGGTCTATACACTCCAGGGGCTAAAGATTTCAAAAGAGTTAAGATAGTCTAAAAGAATTTAAAAGAATAAATTTTTTTAAAAAAACTTTAAACTCAATTCATTCTAGCACAATTTCTTTTTTAAAATTAAAGTAAGAATAATCAATAGAGTTTGGTGGTACATGACTGTAAGCCCAGCACTCTAGGAAGCCAAGGCAAGGAGATCATAAGTTTAAGTCCAGTTCAAGGCAATTTAGTGAAATACACACACACACACACAAATACACAGAGGCTTGTAATATAGCTTGGTGTTCAGTCTCTGGGTTCCACGGGGATGGGGGAGCACTTTAGGAGGAGATATAGATTTAAAAAACTGAAGCAATAAGGCCTCTGAACTTGATGAGGTCAACAGGAGTTTGGGTACAGGCCCGGGGATCAGGTCTTATTATTAGGCTTAATTTTTTTTTTCCTTTTCCAGTGCCAGGGATTCAATATACGGCCTTTCAAGTGCTAAGCAACCTCTCTACCACTGAACTACTTACACATAAATCATATTACTCTTGCTGGGCCATTTTACCACAAAAATAATGTCATTTCTTTAAAACTGCAATATCCATAAATTTGCTGAAGCAATCCTACTACATTAGTCATTTATAAATTATAATTTTTAAACAAGAGTACAAAGATATTTTTAATGGTTATCTCCCAAAAATCCTTTCACTGCTTAAGTGTTCCCTTATTCTAATACGAAACACAGCTAGTTAGGTGTAGATCCTGTTACTCCATTATTCTATGAAGACCATCATTTCTTCTATAAGAGAAACTATCATTTCATTCTCTCTAATATATACGCAACATACTCTAATAACATTATAGGTATACACAGCTTCATACATTAAACAATTTAATGAGACTACAAACATTCAGCCTGTGTGATAAAAATCACATGTAATATTTCATTTAAATCATACAGGAAATATATTTAAATGACATAGAAAATACTAATTTGGGAGAGAAAATATAGTAATGTTTATAGAGTGTAAAAACACTGAACTATATACCTTATTGGTATAACTCTTGCACCGGCAGACTCTAGATACTTCACATACGATGCAGCAATATAGTATTTTCCAAACTTTTTCAATTCCGGATTATTGGTTGCTTGCATTAATACCCCTAAATTAAAAAAAAAAAGTTTTAGTTTCAAGAAAATTCCTTTATTGCTCAGAAACTGAAACACATCACAGTAAAAACGCTATTTTTTCAACTCGCAGGGGAGGGGCAGGAATGGATGGCTGGAGTTTCAAGTGACCCTTCTCTCACCAAATCAGGAAAGCCAAAGGAATCTGTATCTTGCCAAACCTGTCCCAAATTATGAAAAGATCTCTATCCCTTCTTGAGGAACCCTTCAACTCCAGCCTGTTTTTCACATGGAAGTAGAGCTGATCGTATCACTAACCCTTCATTCATTCAATATGGTTGAATCATACCACGTGCCAAGCACTGTACTACCTGTGGGGAAACATGAAGAAAATAAAGCTGCCCGGAAGGCTGTAATTATAGCCTGTGGGAGAGAGAGAAGAGGAAGGGCAAACTACACAGATAAAAAGATACAATACATAGAAGGATAACTGCTCTAAGTGCTAACGAGAATAAGCAAAAGAGGGGTGTCCCATTTCAGGGTCTGTGCTCTGAAATGGACTCTAGTCTATGGTTGAAAACAGCTGCTGCTATTATAAATCTACTTTGAGAGCTTCTTTGGCTTCCCTGATTTGGTGAGAGAAGGGTTACTTGAAGCATGTCCCACTCACACTTCAAATAGGGTAGCCATTTTAGTGGAAACTGTCCTCTGAACCCTAGTAACTCCATCTTGTGGTGCACCACACCTGGTCTAGCTGCTCAATGGGCCCCAAGTCATACTTGCCACAACAGTAGGTACTAAAGCTATGTTACAGACTGCATCATAGTAAGGTCATTCATCACTGTGGCTAGACAATGCATGAGACGAGTGGACTTCCCTGGTAAGGATGAAATGAAGGTGGGGCACGCACAACTTTTCCCAAGAAACCTTTTTGCTCTTGATCCTGCTTAGGCTGTCTGACACAGTGGCTTATAAAATCAAGAGCCTAGCATGGGGGGTGATAGACAAATCTGGTAGTGCGATAGCCTACAAATCATTTATGGTCTCTAAGGTACTCCTTATTCTCACCAAGTTATCACCAAGCTACACTTGTTTCAAACGAGTTGTTCTTTGGTCTGTCAACCCCTTTGTTTGGAGGCACATTTAATTTAGTCTACAGTCTCTCCAGGAAATGTACAAAACATGTAGCTCCCAAAAGGGGATCAGACAGATACAAAAATGAGTCAGTGAAAAACAGCCTTGGGAAACTTCTCAGAGTGGCCATACTCTTCCATGAGGTAAGTGGTGATGTGCTCCCTAGATGAATATGGTCCACTGTGTGGGTATGGGGATGCTCCCAAAATGCCTAATGGGCTAAAGATACATACTATAATCCATAAGGGTAGCCCATATGGGATGATACTATAGGAGCACTGCAGCTGTTGTGTCATGCTCCTCCCATGTGTGATAAGACATGCTGCTAAGAATGAGTTGCTGCTCAGGGGAAGATCCCAGGGTGCTGTCCTCCTCCCTGTAGTATGGGGCAAGATTGCTCCCAGGTGAGTATGGTACACTGCATGTGCCCAGGGATGCCATGAAAAAAGTCCACAGAACTAGAGAGTATTCTGCAGTCTTAAAAGGCAACTCAAATGGGACAGGACTACAGGAAAGCTGTGTCCACTGTGGCACGGCCACTCTTGTGAGCAGTAAGATATACTACTGAGGCTGGTATATCTGTCTAGGGAGAGATGAAGCATAGTGGTCACTACTGAGGGATCTGGGAACCAAAATGTGATGTCCTTAAGGTATTCTAGATTGGGGAAAATAATTGTCATTTTTGAATGAGCAATATGATTTAAGTGGGGAAAGGAGCTATGGATAATCACAACAGCCATCAGGCAGCTCCTCCTCGTCACAGCCCAGCAGCAGCTGAGCTGAGCTCCAAATTCAAGCCTGTTCCATGCAAATACAGGAGGAAGAGAATGGGCACAAAGCTGCTCAGATGAAAGCTGGGGGTAAACACAAATGGAAAAGTGGAGAGGGAGAAGGACCTGGGCCACTGGACTGAGCTCAACCTGTAACTCAAATCCAACTTGGTAAGGGGTACAGATCCGGCTGTAAAGCTGAAGTCAGGTGAAAGAAGCAGCTTCCAGGTCACCTGCAACCTGCACTAGCATGAGGTTGGTTCCAGTCCCCAAGAGGGGAGAATTCACAAGAGCTCACTGAAGCATACTTGGCTACTAGTACATTCACTTTTGGATTCCAATTTGAATTGATATTTCTACTATGATGTCCAATCCATGCAATGTGACCCTGTAGACCTTGTACTAAATACAAAATAAATAAATAAATAAATAAATTGATATTTCTGTCTAATGGGCATGTGTAAAACATTTCTACAAATAACTTTGAGGGTACTTCTTAAATGAAAATTACAAGGCAATCTTCTCTTCTTCTGTTTTCTGTTTAAGATAATTCTTTCATTCAAGGTCATGTAACCCTAAGCTTGAAACCTTAATTGTGAGTTAACTCTTAGACCAAAGAATGAAGAAAACTGAAACCAAAAAAAGTATCAAGAGCACTTTGAAAATCCAAATGGCCATAAGGATTTTTGTTTCTGTTTTTTTTTTTTTTTTTGTTTGTTTGTTTGTTTGGTTTTTGTTTTTCCAAATGGCAACCAGTAAGTACCACAAAGGAAGAGATGTTGTTAATAATAATAATAATAATAATAATGATGGGTATAGAGATTAACAAAGAGGTACAGAAGCCTAATCTCATACTTGAGGGGGGTCAATTATCCTGGAAATACACTGTTTCTATCTCCTACCTGTGGGAATACATAGAGGCAAGGATGGCATTGAGGCCCAACACAATGAAAAGTCTCTTCCTGAGAGTATGGGCTGCAAGGCATTGACACGGGACTGGCAAAACGTGAGCAAATAAAACTGCCTCACATAGACTACACAGCATGACTAACAGTAAGGAATAAAGAAATTGCCATGCCAGCCCACAGTATTTAAGAGCAGTCTGGTGTGGCTGGCTTCAAGGAAAAAAAAAAAAATGCCAAATGGCTCATGGAGAATGACTATGAATTATAGATAGATGTGTACCCTCTGCCTTAATGTGTTGTTTTGGATCTTGCAAATGCTTTAATAACCTCTCAGCTTCTGGACCAGTTTTCATCACCTGGAATGAACAGCAATGGACCTTCTGAATGGTCTTTCATGGCTACAGGAACAGCACCACTGTTTGTCAGGGGGTAGCAGCCCATGACCTTGACTTGTTATGTGGCCCACTCACTATGAAAATGTTTCATTCCACAGATAACATCATGCTAAGCTTTCTCTGTCTTAACAGACTTGGAAAAAATCTGGAGGACATATAAGTATACCTAAGGAGTGGAAGATGGGAAGGTAATCTCCACAAGGTATAAGGGCCAGGCAACACCATGAAGTTTAAGTTTAAACAGTTGTATAGTTGGGTAAGAAGACAGAGATGAAGCTGAGGTCACTGAGAAAATTCTGAAGGAGTCTGTACCAATAAATATAAAACAATTATAAGTGTACTTAGGACTCTTGGGGTACTGTCCTATTTTCATACCCTACCTTGCTCAAATTGCCCATCGATTTTGTAACATGATAAAAAAAGAACCACATAAAATTGGGACAAAGGGGAGCAAAGCTATTTATGGAGCAAACAGTTTCGTGTCCTAGTACTGCAATGCCTACTTGTCCTACAGGTTACCAGAAACCCAAAGGCTATCACTGGCAGGTGGACAGAGACCATCTAAATGGTTCTAATATGGCTCTGGTCCCACTTATGAAAAAGGGAAAAACCCAGAATACAGCACTTCCAACAACAGTTGCTGGCTGTTTATAAAGCCCTGAACCAGGTGGAAGCCATCACTGCATCTGCTTCAGTGACAGTAAAAAGAAAATATCCAAAAAAGAGTTGGAATGGAAGACTTTTTGACCAAGTCTCTTTCTGGGGTGACCCAAAATCAGGTTTTACAAAAGTGCCATATTTTTTGTAGCACTGTGGAGTCCTATTTGCTAGCCCTGTGACAAATACCATGTAGGCCATACTGGGAACAGTGTCCCTCCAAACTTCTGAATCACCTCCAGGGATTGAACCAACAGCTAAGCCAGATAAGGTGCTGCACAATGAGACCTGAGACTAGGACATCACAAACTGGGAAGTTGGCATGACCTGTTAATTGAAAAGTGCCAGTACACATGTGAAGAAAGTTCCCAAAGCCCTGCATGTGGAATCAATCAAGAGTGCTGTCTTTAATTTTTCTCACAGGAACTGGATCAGATTTTCACCAGGCTGAGTAGAGAGATGTACAGAAGTCACCACTGATCACAGGATTATACTCTTACATAACAATCTACTCTCACCCAGCACATTTATTTTCATGCTTTTAACTGGCTCAGATTTGCTCCGCAGATCACATTCCCTTTTCTACCTTTAATAAACATAAAACCTTGACCAAATCTTTGCTCAGGACAGAAAGAACCCAGAAACTATCTCCAAAAGGAGATGTCAGCATCTCAAAATTCAGCAACAAAAGAACAACGCCCATTCCCAAAGAAACTTGGTACACTAATGGCACTAGTTGGGCGCACAGTGGATAAATATAGCTATCATCTAGCTAGAGAGTAGATAAAGGAAAAACAGGCTGAGCTAAGAGCAGTGTGGATGCAGATTCAAGAGCAATGGCTACTGTCTGTACAGATAGTTGGGCAGTCCTTAGAGAACTGACTCTAGGACTGGCAGGAGCTTGGTAGGCCTGGAGGGCAATGTATGAAAGAATACAAAATGAATAAAAACCACTAACCACCCTCCACACAGCCTACTAAATACTCTGGGAAATCAGTAAGATAGTACTGTAATGGCTTATGTTTATATGTTCCCCCAAAACCCCATGCAGACATAGGTGAGGCTCTTTTCAGAGGTAGCTGGGTCTACAGTGTGTAAAGCTGGGATTGATTTCTATTTCACTGTTAGGCTCAAAGGCACTAGAATTAAGGGTGTGAGTGCAACTCATCCTAAATACCCTGGATAAGATATAGAGGATAGAAAGAGCTGTGGTCATCCCTCTTGCTTGCTTTACTACCTTCTGCCCACCATGAATTGGTTCTCCTTTGCAATGCCTGTCTGCAATGCCACCCTGCCTTAGAGCCAGCTGGTTATGGACTGAAACCTCTATACTCTATGAGCTGAATAAACCTTTTGGGGTATTTTATTGAGTATTTTGTCTCAGCAATGAGAGAAAAGTAATTAAGGTAAGTACCCTCACAAATGTTTGAGCTACAGTACTTGTGACCAGACACCTGCAGAAGTCCCCCTCTGGACATATGTGAAGTCTGGGCACAACAGGGCCAACACGGACTAGAGGATAGCAAAGGCTAGAGACACTCCCATAAACTATTCTCAGCCTTGCTATGCTGTACAGACATGTGAGGTCTGCTTTTGGCTATAGTCTCAAAGGATAAATGCACTAGCTGAGTATGTGCATGTGGGTTACATTGGGCCCATGCCTGTGAGTGAAGGCTCTAAATAGCACTCACCTCTGTGAATACTGATACAGTCCTCTTGGAAACATTCACCTGTAAATGGGCCACTGGGGCCACCAATAAGCCTCACTCAGCTCAGTGTTATGCTCAGGTGCTCATGGGGAATTGACAGGGACAGGGAAATCCATTTCACAAACAGTGCCATGCAAAATTGAGCTAAGGACAATGATACTTTCACCTACCTTATAATCCCACAAGAGCTTTATTTAAGAGCAAAATATGTGAAGGTAATAGTTAAAGGTTTAAATAAAGGTACCTGCATGAGTGGAAAAAGAAGTGCTCCTAGAAACCATAAAAGGGACTAAGTTGGGTCTATTCTCCCACTGGCTAACACGCCTAGTGCCAAAGGGTACTACATGCAGGCTGTCTGAGAACTGTCACCAAAAGTCAGATGAATCACTCAGATGTAGCGATGACAAACCTTAAAAGAACATTTTAAAGATCAAGTGCCCAAACTGCAATTCAAAACCCTTAACTTACTGCAAAGTGCCAACACTGCTATTAAACCTGAATATCCAATGCTCGCCTGCTGGGGTGGCTTGGCTCATATTCTGACAGAGAGGGCTTTGCAGCATGCCTACTGCAGCATGCACTCTATAGGTGCACCACCACTGTTGTGTTACCCTACATGCCGGACAGGATGTGCCTCCAGTGCCACAGTGGCACGACTGGTCTGGGTGCAGCCAACCACTTACTGATTAAGCCTTTGGTCTGTTCCAAAGCAGGAGACCCACGTGTGGTACTGCAAGCCGGGACAAAGACCTGTGTGTCTGGGAAGTCAAAGGCCCCAAGGGAAAATCCACTGCTATTATTCTGTCAAAAGCATAAGATGTGCCAGTAAAACTGCTATCTAAGCATTTGTGTCTACACCGAGTTACTGTTGTTGCTGCCCACAGCCAGAGTTCCTCCAGTGAGTGGTGACCACAGGTGGAAACCCACAAAAAATCCACCAACTGGGTATGTGCTAAACTTTTCTCCAGTCAAGCAGGCATGAAATGTGCTGCCCTTTCCTGACTATAATTGGAGTAACTTTATGGGGACCCTTGAGCCAAGATGGACCATTACAGGGGCCAGGGAGATGGCTCAGTGGAATAAGCGCTTCCCTGGCAAGTGTAAGGGCCTGAGTTCAATCCCCGGTTCTGGAAAAAAAAAAAAAAAAAAAAAGATGGACCCTTACATAATTTATTGGGAACATATACTCTCAAGTGTGTCATTCTAAAAGTGAACACCTATTACTGTGATCTGTATTGTTTCTAGGACATAACAGCCTAGTGCTCAGCTCTCAGTGAAAGGTGACATCCCCTCCAGGGCTCATGTTAATGGTTTGTGTGTAGTTGATCCCCTAAAGCCTTTTGAAGTCATTGGGACAGGGTTCTAGTTTGTTATTAATTCCAGATCCAAGACTGGGATTATACATGTGAGTACTGCTGGGATTACAGGTGTGAGTGCTATACCCACCCTGGGGCAGATAGCCTGAAGGCAACATAAAGGGAGAGAGCTTCGTTCTCTCTGCAGCTGCAGCAACTGCCTTTCCCCTTCTCCTCTTGCTATTTTCTGTGGCCAGGAACTGCTGTCCTCTTCCATGTGCTCTTCTGCCTTGGAGCCAGCTGAGTATAGACTGAAACCTCCACTAACTGTGAGCTAAGTAAACTTTCCTTCCTTAATTTTGGGTGTCAGGTATTTTGTCCCAGCAATGGAAAAAAAGTAAATGAGACAGCTCATGACACACTGTGTCTCTGTGTTTTTGTTTTGTTTTGTTTTTGTATGTGTGTGTGTGTCTATTTTAAGAGCTGAAAAAAGGATTGAAGAGAGGGAGAATTATACCCCACCATTCCAGCCAAAGTAACTATCTGGTGTTTCACCCCGCCTAGTCTAGCTGTTCAATGGGCCCCTCGCCACACACCCCACAACACCAGGTGCTAAAACTACGTGCCAGGTTGCAGCATAGCAAGGTCATTCACCACTGTGGCTAGACAGTGCTTACTGAGACTGGCAGTTTCCAGATAAGCATCAAATGAGGGTGGAGCACACACAACCTTTCCCAAGAACTCTTCTTGCTCTTGATTTTGCTCTTGTGTCCTATAAAACCAACAGCCTAGCACAGCAAGGCGGGCAAATTTGGTAGTGACACAGCCTACAAGTCATCCACTGCACTATAGGTAACCTGCTTCAGGTAAGTAAGGGAGACAGCACATGCAGAATTCTAGGAGACCGGCAATCCAGGATAAGGGAAATGCAAATGCAAAATTCATGAGTCAGCCTGTCATATAGTAAGGAATGCACTCGACTACAGCCAGGTGAGGAAAGGGAGAAAGCAATATGAAAAGATACAGATGAGCACACCACCACCTTGCCTAACAACTCAGTGCCTGCCTGAATTTTAAGAGACTGTGTAAAAGCCTCCTCTCTGCATCCACCCACCTCTCAGGCTTTCTCTTACCAACAAAATCCCAGGCAACCCCAGCATAAGACTGGCATCCAGTATATATCAAAATGTCATGAATGTGTGAAGCTCCAGGTGCAATCATCAGAACAATAAAACAAATCTACCTGGTGAGCACCTGTGTCTGTATCATTATTTCATCTGATGCTTTTAGTATTTCCATAGGCCACCTGAAAGAAGAACTTGCTATCTGTATTAATTACATCTGAATTCTCACTTCCTGATAATAGCTGGTACGTGCCAGTACTCAGTTAATACACATCAAATATCAAAATATGTTCAGTATGCAACTTTTCTCTTTGCTAGTAAGATCATTTTTACTAAAGAAAATGAAATTTAGGAAAAGAAGAGTTGAAGAATGTCCTTAAAAAGAGTAATACAAGACAGGCAGAGGAGGTGTCACAATGCAGTGCACAGGGCATCATGGCAACACAAGGTGCAAGAAACAAACTTACATTAAATTGCACCAACACCCCCTTCCGCTCCACTCTATGCCACTACAGCTCCATAATTAGTATCCCCATCCCTGCTAAAAAGCTCGTTATACTCCCTATCCATTAACATCTGGCCAAATTCTCATACAGACTTCCACTTCAAGGGTTTCTTTGTCTTTGATGCCTTTACACTTCCTACAGTAATGCTTTCATATACTGTTGCTTCATTAACTAATTTATCTTAATTGATCATGGTGACCAAAACCAGAGTCTGCATCTCTGTATCTGACCTAGGGGTACTCCATCCCAAGAAAGGAAAATAAATATCTCTTTCCTTTTTTACCTCCTTGGACACATAAATTATAATTCAGTACATATAATTATATGACTGTTGAAAAACCTAACCATCATTGTTAATACCTTGGAGTAAGACCTTCCAGGTTCAAAAACTGTACCCATTTGAAAACTGGGTACAACTCACACATATGATAAATTGTCATCTAATTTCTGTTGGCTAAAAAATACAGTGCTGGCCTTCATGAAAGGAAAAATAATCTAAAGGGAATAATTCTACACAGGATGGGATAAAGCCAATACTGGCCACATAGAAAGTCCTTTAGACAAATTCCAATCCCAATGATTTTTCCTAGGTCCTGTCTCAAATATCTGTTCTGTTAATGTAAACTGATTCCATATTCTTTTCAAAACATAAATGTAATTTTAAAAAATCACTTTTCACTCCAGCATCAATTGATATTATTATACTAGCCGCTGCTGGTGTGGAAGATGACAAAGTCCAAGACACACTACACTTTAATTTCTTGATGATCTAATGCATTCCATTTTTACGCATAATGTATCGCATCTCAATACACCCTCAACCAAGGAATGTTACGTAAATATATGCATGGCTTTCTGTAAACCAGTAGAAATTCCAAGCTACGTGAAACAATGCTATTTCTTTCAGTGAAAATACCTAGCTATGTACATAAAAGAAAATCAGCGTGCAGTATTCACTGCGCACCCTCCATCCTCCCACTTTAAGAGCCAGGGCATAACGGCCTTAAGAAAACCACATTCCAGTACGTTCGTAAGGAAAACGAAGCCCCGTCACCCTGTGTGCGGGGGCGCAGGGTCCGCAGGCGTCGGGCGGTGACGCCCAGCTTCCCACCCCGCTGAGGCTGCTTCCTTACCAATGATGGGCCTCTCGGTGGTAGGTCTGCGGAGGCTGGGCAGCCCGAGGCTTGGCGCCACACAGAGGAGCAGGCCCACCGCACACAGCAGGCGGCCCACACTCGCCATCTCGCCCGACATCTCCCGCCGTAGTTCGAAGGCACTGCGGCCGGCCTGCGGCTCCCGCCGCCGTCCAGGCAACTTCCTGCCCTGAGCCGCGGGGGCGGGGGCGGGGCGGGGCAGCGCTACGCCGAGCGGGCCAATGGGAGGCGCGGTTCCGGATCAGGGGCGGGACCAGGTGGCCCGGGCGCGCGCCACCGCCCCGCCCACGCCCGCGCTCTCCCGCCCCGCGCCCCGCCCCCGGCGCCTCGGGAGCTGCCCCTGGTGCCTCAGGTGGTGCTGGGCGGCGGAGTCCGCGCAGTGACAAAGCTGGGACAGCCAGGCCTGGGGTGGGGGGAGGTGAGGCCCGGGGGGGTCCGAGCTCCGGGTCCTGCGGACTGTGGGAACCTCGCCACCCGGAGCCCGGAGATTCGGAGTGGCTGGGAAGTTGGCTGAGGAGGAGGTTAGGGCCCCGTCTCTGGGGAGGGCGGCTGCGGAGTCGTGCACGCCGGCATTCGGGTAAGGACAGTGCGTGGACCCTCAGCTTATTAGTGGTCTGGGAGGATCCAGTCCGCAGTCAGCTGTCTCTAAGGGGAAAGCATCGTGTAACAGAAGGTTGTGGTGGAGTAAAGGGGGCTGCGGGACAGAGGAGGAGAACCGTGCCAAAGAGGAGTGGGCGAAGGGACATGGGCCGTCCAAGGTCAGGTCTTCATGATTCATCCAGACACACCCAGGAGCAAGCTTTACTAATCTGCTGGTGTTTCTTAATCCAGTTGAAACTGATACATCTGGATTTGCATCCACATTCAGAGATACTACTAGGGAAAAGAGCTTTGTACAATAATGTAACACTGGAAAAAAAAATATATATATATATATATGTGTTGTTATGGGAGGGTGCCGGCAATTAGAGGGTATGAACAGTGAAGGCTGAGCCAAACCTTCAATAATCCTGCAGAGCTTTGAGGTCAAAGTCCCCCTAGAAGCAGGACCCTGAAACATGCACAGTAGGTCTCCCCTGTAAGGCATTTGCCAGATGCAAAGGGTAGGAGATAAATTCACCACCTGAAATATCCGAATGTCAAGGCTGAAAATAAAGAGACTATCTAAGATGCCAATCAGAAGTCCAGGAGAACCAGTCATGAACAGTTAGGATGAAGCAGAGGTGGACTGAGTTTGACTAGATCTCTGGCCCAGCCCAACCCAGCACAAGGCTTGACAGATTGACTAGCATCTTGCCCTTGCTTGCAAAGGGAAGAAAGTGCCCTTGGTGGAAAATGCCACCTGGAGCCTCTAAAGTTTCATACACAACAACAAATCATTGAAAACGTAAAGCAAAAATATATAGTGGTAATCTAAAAATAATAAAACAAGACAAGTTATGAGACAAGGCTTTTATTGTACATGATATGATTAATTTTAAATGAAATAGAGAAAAAGACAAAATAGATGATATTTTCCACAGAGAATTGAAATCTATAGAAAAAAAAAAAGAATTTTAAGATTCTCTCCTAAGTAATGTTACTAGTTCTGTGTAATAGCACATGCCTGTAACCGCAGCACTGAGGGTGACTGAAAGAAGAGGATCCCAAGTTCAAGCCCACATTAGATGTATGTCAAGATTTTCTGGAGGAACAGAATCAATGGAAAATATATGTAAAATTATGGGAGGAATTGATTAGGCAGGAGAGTCCACTGTGTTGTCTGCTCTGGAAAGCTGGACTATCCAGCAGGTTTTCAGCTCAAGAAGAAGATAACTTTGGAACAAGAGAGAAAAATGTAGCCATAGTCCAAGCTCAGAGGCCTGGACACTCACTGTAGTCTCTAGGGTGACTACCTTGGAAAGCTGATGGAACTGGAGCCCCACATCTAAAAATGATAGGAAAGATGGGAGCCCTGCAAAATGAAGGAATGCTTTCCTCTTTCCTATTTTATTTTGTCCAGGCTGCAAGGCTTTTGGCTGATGCTACAGGTATCTAGCATGGATTTTTCCATATCAGTTTGTTGGCCTAATGTCAATCGTCCACTGACATCTCTAGAACTGTGTTTTACTAATCTGCCAGGCAGTTCTTATTTTAGGTTCTACACATTATAATTAACGGTCACACTAAGCAACTTAGCAAGTCTGTGTCTCAAAAAATAAAGTGCTAGAGATGTAGGTCAGTGAAAAGGCCCCAGGTTCAATCTGTAGTACTGCACAATAAAAATAAAAAATAAAATGTGTTCTTGTTTCATGTAACAGTTTTAACTTAAAAGCATGACACTGGAAAGTATCCTATTTTATGCATACTCTTGTTCCTAAGACTATAAGCACCATAAGTTAATAAAAGTTAAATGAAAGCCTTAGTGTAATAGTGTCGTGCAAAATAAAAATTAAAAGACACAGTAAAGCATATTGAAAGTTTAAAAACAAAGCAGAATTATCACAATTGGAATTTTGCAGAATAAAAGACCACCAGAGCTAATGAAAGCAAAGATGGATGTTTTAATTTGCCTGGCTAGGACCACCCAGGAGTAAAGAAATTCACTGATGAACTCACTGAAAAGGATTATCAGAGATATTTGTACCACGAAGAAGTTGCTCCTGATGGCTATGCCCATTAGGATTGAAAGTTAGCACTCAGGAGAAAATTGGTTAAAAAAAAAAAAAGCCTCATTTTCCATTAATAGGCTACAGATTTCACTTTAGACCCAGAAGCATCTAGTAAATGCTAGAATTAAGTGTGGTTTCCAGGACATGAACCTAGTGAATAGAGACACAGAGGCTGTAACTTATACAGACTTACTCAAGTTCTACAAGTATAGTACAGTTGTCATAAGTATAGTGGAAATCCCAACAACTTTCTAATGGATCATTTTATCTTTCCCATTGTACTTATATTTTTAAATTGTGAAATGTGAAGACAATATTGTAATTTTACAGCAGCTTGTTTTGGGTTGAAGACCTGCAAAGTACATCTGTGTCTTTGATGCATGGTAAGGGGAAAGGGTGATAAGGAATTGGAAAATGGAAAAGTAGGAGAGTGTAGAAAGCAGTTGAGGTTTTGAAATGTACACACAGAAAGCCTCAATTGTGGAGATGGGGACAATCTTCATTGTGTAGAACCAGTAGCAGTAAAACTAGGGATCCAGTATTGGAAATGACCAGTAACCCTTGAAACCTTCAGACTTATCTCTTGAAAGCTTTGGGGAAAGGGAACCTGGTGATAAGATTCATTATCTTACAAAAAAAAGTATTTCCTTCAAAGGAACTTTGTCCTAGATGCTTGAGGATTATTAATTGTTTTTGGTATGTAAAGGTGTTACGTTCTCACGGGCAAGGATTTAGAGTAAACATACGAAGAGCTGACAGTCTTTACTAAGCCCAGGTTATCTACTTACTGAATTTAGATAATTGGACTTATGACACTTCCAGAGATTGACTGGTAGATTGAAATTGCCCACATGAGGCTGACCTGAGTCAGAAGTGGAAGAGACTGAGCAGCAGGAAAGAAAGGCTGAACACAGTGTGGACTCTGCCTGACCATTTACTGTCCCACATCCCTGCATCTCCTCAAGTACATGGGGTCCCAAGAAAGTGATGTAACATGCAAAGAAAGTATGTCACTGGGTATCTACCAGGAGAACTCAGCACAACGGTGGCTTGAGTAATTTTGTTAATGTGAGAAGAATTTCTGCAAGATACACAGAATTGCAGCATGGCTTTCTTTATAGTAAATCTTCCATAAAACTTCATGGAGGCCAGTCTGTATGTATGTAAATAAAATTAAAATAACTAAAACACATAATTAATTCAAGCATTAAAGCTAATAAGATATATGAAACGATTATTGTAGAGTTTGAAACAAAAATAAGAAATTATCATTGAAGGCAGCTAACATTTAGAATGAGAAAAACAAACAGAGATGAAGTCAGTTCTGAGGGCTGTAAGGAGGCTGCTGCAGTCAGCCTGGATTCCTAGTAAGCAGGATCCTGTGCCTCCAATGGCGGTCATCCTACTTTGGGATAATGTATCACTGGGTCAGATCTGCCCTCTGTGAATATTGACCCTGTGCTAGACAAGGGCTAGGTACTAATTATGAAAGGCTGAGAACACCGTCTGCATTTAAGAACAGTTTCTGACAGGGAGACGGGCAAGTTGGCAGCTATAAACTCAGACAAGGGTCACATAAGAGGAAGCAAGGAATTATTACTGTGGAGAATTAGGGAGGGCTTCACAGAGGTGACAAATGGAAAGAACTGAGAAGAAAAGCATCTCCCTGCGCAAAGGAAGCGGGAAGAATAAAGGTTCAGGGAACAAAATGAATCCCACTTCCCACCTTGTTTTCCAAAGGAAGGGTGCTGCTTTCAGTGGTAAGAAGATAGCTTGTCTGCAGTGTAGATGGAGTCAAACATTGTGAGGATGGAAAAACAAGTTGGATCTAAGTGCAAAGGGTCTGGGGGCCAATGAGCAATCTAGCCTATGTGCAGTGATGCTATCTTGAAAATCTGGAAATGAAATCTTGCAAAAGATTACTGTGGTGCAAGGAAAGGGTGGGAAAAGGGAGGGGTAATTGGAAGGCTGTAGGCCAAGAGGAGGCTGATGCAACAGATTGGTAAGATATTATAAGTGGATCAGAGTCAGATGTTTCAAGATAGGATTGATAGAATCTGGTGGAATCAGGTCTAGCATGATCACCGTAGTATCATGAAGTGTGTGGACACTACAGCCAGAGCTGAGTTTAGTCTGATTCTGTCATTTGTAATCTCTGTGATTTTTGAGCAAAGAATGTAAAAATGGACCTCTTTTGTTTAAAAAGGTCAAATGGTGATATGTGCATGTACTATAGTGGCACAAAATAAGTACGACCTTTTGCAGAGCCCTTTACTGGTATTCAAGGTTTCCATAATATGATTTGCAGGGATCTTTCTAGACAGATGACCCACTAAGTCACCTCTTTCCAGAAATATAAGGTTATTTACTCTTTATCAAATGTCCTTATTTTTGTTTCTAAGTCTTTGCTCATGTTATTTCTTCTCTTGAACTGTCCTTTCTCATTTCAGTTCTCATTGCCACTTAGAAAGTCAATTGTGCTTAAATACTATTTTGAAAAGTATCTCCTCAAAAGATGCATCG